CCGACTTCCAACGCTACTCGACGAGACACCGCACCACCAACAATCCGCCAAAGGGCACGCGAGACACCGATGCACACATCGAACAAGCACTTGTAGCAGCCCAGAGAGACTACCAGCAACAACAAGATCAACAGCAACAACTTCCATAAAACACAGCAGCGACGACGCGGCAAAGCAACAATTGCACGCACATATTACGCAAGGCAGAAACACACCGCACACCGACGCAGCCACCTGAACAGCTCTTAGCAAACGCGTTCTACGTGCACACCGGGACATCAAAAGGGCTCAACGGCAGACAATCCTGAACGACATCATCGTTACTTTCCGCGGCCTGAACAGAATCTCCGGGGTCAGGTCCAGCAAAAAGAAGGACCTCATGCCGGCCATGGCAACAGCAAGGGGCTCCAACGACACGGACCGGCAGGGGATATCATACGTCTTCGCGGACTTCTATGAGGAGTTGTACCGGCGCCCTGAAAGCACGCCCTCACCTACGCCCACCAGCGCCCCTGACGCCCAAGGAAAAGAAGCACGGCGACCTCGACAGAGCATTCCCCCTTTTCACCCTCGAAGAGTTGCACCAAGCAGTGAAGCATTTCAAAAATGCCGAGTGCAAGGGCACGGCTGGGCTCACCGCGGAGCTGCTAACAGCAGGGGGGGCGCGATTGAGAAGCATTAACTGGTGCTCTTCAACGACATTGTAACACCCGAGCAGACGCCGCTGGAAAAGTGGAGACCACCATCAGCGCAATCTACATGTTCGGAGACCCGCAATTACTAAGCAACTACATACCAATCGCCATCATACCGCTGCTATACAATCTCATGCCCCGACTAACTTTGCAAGCGACTTGACGCACTTTTCGACGCGCAACAGTCACCTGACCAAGCTGGCTTACGCAAGGGCCTGAGCACAGAGGACCACCTCTCCACTGCAACTGCACTTTGCGAACAGTCCTACGAATGGCAGCTCCCACTCCGGACAGCTGCCATCGATTTCAAGAAGGCTGTCGATTGCGTCGGCCACCCGTGTTTGCGGGAAGCCCTAAGAAAACAAGATGCGCCGGAACCTTACATCACCTTGTTGCACAATTTTAACAAAGACCAACGAGCCACGGAAAGGACCGACGTCAGAATCAGACAATTCAACATAGAGCGCGGCGTCTAGCAGGGGGACCCAATCAGCTCATATATGGTCAACGCGCCACTCGAGCACATATTCCGGGACATTAAACCAGATTGGACACGAGAGGGCTGCGGCATACACTTTGGGAGGTGCACAGACGACGCGCCTGACCAACATGAGGTTTGCTGACGACGCACTCCTCGTAGCACTCAATCTACGACATCTCAAGCGTATTTTGCGAGACCTCATACACGAAGCCGCGAAGTCTGGACTTGCATTGCACCCCGACGCAACGAAGATTCTCAAAAATGTTAGCAGTCGACGGGGCGATGCATTACACGCGTGGACACCGACGACGACAAGGTCGAAATCCTCAGCGCCGAGGAGAGCACCAAATACCTGGGTCGCAAGCTGACGTTGCACGACTCCCACCAGACCGAGCTCACCAACAGACTTGCAACGAGGTGGCACAAATTCAACCAATTCCGCAACGAGCTCACAAACAGCCGGTACCCCCTTCGCAGCAGACTCAGGCTCTTCAGCGGGACGGTGGTGCCAACGGTCATGCACGGCTGCGCGACGTGGACCCTCACCAAAGACATGCCCCTTACACCCCGACGCACCCAACGACGCATGTTACGACTCATTGTCAATACCTCGAGACGCCGACAGAGACAACCCACAACCAACCCCGACACTAAACAGCATGACGACAGCACAAGTGATGACAGCAAGGCCAGCGTCAGACAGCAACTAGACTTTGACGACGTCGACGACGAATCCGACCTTGGACCCTGGGGCAATTTCATTCACAGGGCTATCCACACCGCCTCAGACTTTGCGACGCGCGCACATGTGGAGGAATGGGTCACAACATCTCACAACCATAAATGAAAATGGGGTGGGCGAGTTGCTACCCAACCGCGCCACAGCTGGGCCCGACTGGCGGCGGCATGGGGACCTGATAGCCATGGCCCCCGGGCAGCACGACGCCGACACGGCGGACAGCGAAAGCGGTGGAGTGACGACATCACAGAATTTTTGCAGATGGCTTCGGTTGGATGGTGCTACAACTTCCAAGTTCTGGGCGGACCTCGAGTTTTCCTTAAGTTCACATGCCTGCGACCGGGTTCCGGCCCGCCCGCGCCGCCCCCAAGGGGCTTGCCGGCCCGCCGGCCCGCGGACTCGCGCGTCTGCCGTCTGCCCTCGCCAAAGGTTTTGCCCGCGCGCACTTCCCCATCATCCTCGACAGCACCATCGCCATCATCATCATCATCGCTAGCGTCATCATTATCATTGGCACCTTCGTTATCTTCACGATCAGCTTCATCGCCATCGCCATCGCCATCATCGTCGGGGTCGCCCCCACCGTTGTCATGAACGTCACCATCGTCATCGTCGTCTTTCTTGTCGCCTCCCAGCTGGGTGTCTTGCTCAAGCGGAGGGCGGGTGGGCGGGATGCTTGCGCGAGCATTGGTGGTGGTCACGCGCGGACGCGGTCAACATTAGTTGCCCCGGAAAGTGCGCACCACATAGCTCGCACCCACTCGTTTGCAGCACATAACTTGGCTCACGTATATTCTCTACGCAAAAGCAAATAGACTTCACCAACCTCTCCCCCCCAGAGTTATCGATCCCCGCTGGGATCTTGCACCTTGCACTTGATTCTGCAGCATCCTTCATGTTTAATATGGGTTCAGATCATTCTATTCATTGGGTTATCGCCCCACCTCCCTTCGTCCTTGTGGTATATCGCAACGTACCATGTTTCAAGAAAACCGTGTTTGCAATTGCTTGCACAATGTCTACACGTGCACATGTCAAAATCAATCGACAATCCGTAAGGTGATCATTTTACTTGTTCGCAATGTTCATGCCCGTCTTTTTTGCTGAAAGCGTACGACAGCCATGTGAGTTTAGCAGTCTGATTCAGAAACAGCATTCTAATTGTACCACGCGGTGCATCCGAGTTGGTCCAGCATGCGGCCAGTGCACGAATCCGTATCAAATAGTGATATGCGGGCCACGCGCGCGCGACGCCACGCGCTCATGTCGAAATCTTTCCGCAACTATTGGTGTCCGAAGCAGCCCAGCATAGAGCCTTTCGAACGCGTAAGACAAAAACCAGTGTTGTTCAACCGAACGTGTGCTAGGATTCTTGGGTTTCCGTCGAGCGCGCGCACGTCCTCGCCATCACCCGCATTAGTGCCGCCGCACCACGTCATCGTCGCCGGCAATCGTCACCATTGCAGCCATCATCACTCAAGCACCTCCACCACCAGCACATGGACATCATCATCATCATCATCGTCATCGTCATCCCCAGCATCGACGCCGTTATTAGCCTTGCCGTCGTCATCGTCATCATGGCCACCACCATCGCTACTGTCTTCGTTGCATGATGCCGCGCCCGCCCGAGTCACTGGCCCGCATTGAAGCGCCCGCGCGCCAACGCGGCCTGTGAGACGCGCCGGGGAGATACCAGCGCGCCAATGCGGTTGCAGAGATGCGCCAGCCAGTGTCAGTCAGGCATCGCAATCGCGGCAGCATTAGTTTTGCAAAACAAGTTGCGGGTGGGAGGGTGGGATGATCGTGTGAGCATTGGAGTTGACAGACCATGAGTTGACCAAAAAACTCATTGCACCACATAGCCTGCACCACATAGGTTTCGTCGCATAGCTTGCATCACAAAGGTTGCACGACATAGCCTGCACCACGTACGTCGAGTGAACCGCAGACCTTGCAGCACATAGATTGCAACATGTAGAATGAACCCAAGAGGTTGCACCGCACACACTACGCATCCGCAGTGCAACGGTTCACTGCTGGCAGACACCAGCCAAAGTGAAGCTATGCCTCGCACGCGGGTGATTTCATCACGCGCGAGCCCCGCAGGCGCAGGCCGCAAATGTTGCGAGGAAGTGCAGCGCGTTGGTCTTGTGCGTGGCGAGCTCCCCGAGAGCGGCGAGCTTCCGCAGCCAGCCGAGTGGGCTCCTTCGAGCACACCTCTCGCGACGGTGTCGCCGTGTGCGCATGCCCGTCGGGATCCAGCGGAATGTTGAATTGGCGTCTGCCGGCGCGACGCACGGGACCAGGTCGATTACGGTCGGAGCGAGGCGTAGCGACATGCCCGATTGGGGGAGGGTGCCGACTGGTCTTCGTTTTTGATTGCATGTTCTTGTGCAGCTTCAGAAAGGGTACCCTCGAGTGTTTTCAATTTGACAGTTTTGTACGCTTGTTCGGGTAGAGGAGGGGTTCCAGGCCATGCCTTTCCGTGCTCACCATAGTTTCTTCGATAGGCCAGGCAGTCAAGGTCGGGTGACTCTTCGGAAGGGACCCTCGGCGACATCTTCATTGTTTTTGTTGCCCGCGGAGGGGCCCATGTTCTTGTAGTATGGTCGTCCGTCTCTGTTCCAATTGTATATTTGCAAGTGTCCACGGCGAGATGTCGGCGGCGAGCTCAGGGGCGAGGCGGCACCGGCCGCATCTTGGGGTGGGCACCTCCCCCGATCCATGGATTTGGCGACTGCGCGCCTAATCCATGGATCGCTAATCCATGTTTGCGCGCCCCCGACCTGAGGGGCATGGATCAGGCAAGGGGGCTACCGTTCTTTTGTCTACGCCCGTCGGAGCCAGCGGATATGTCGCCGGTTCCCGTCCTGGTCCTGATTTCCGCCGCCCACCTTTCCCCCTCTATCTTCAGGAGACGGCGGGAATTGTCTTGGGTGTGCCAGCGTGGGTCGCTGCAGCGCACCCCCCGACAGCTTCTCTCCTCTTTGCCGTGCCTTATGGCTCCGCTTGGCGGCCGCCGTGCGCGGCAGCAGGGACAGGGGCGGCGGGAGCGCACGTGCGCTGGGTTGGCCCTCGGCAGGAGCTCAGAAGAACGCTCCCAACGGCAGGGTCTACTCCGGGATGATTAAGGCGCCCCTGCTGACCACTATGAAGGGAAGGGGTCCTGAGGGAAACGGGTCCTCAGTTTGATCTGCCAGTTTGGGGGCTCCAGGAGCCGTCTACGGGCCCGAGACCGGTAACCATGTGCAGCTGCGGCACCGCATGCGGGCGCTGTCATTGGGGCTTTCGGGGGGGGTCTCTTGCGAGGCCACGAAACGTGTGAGGGGGGGGGTCAGAAATGAGAGCCGAGGACGCTTGCGGTTACCGCCACTGGGGCCCTCGGTGAAGCTCCTTATAGAGCCACGAGACGTGTGATGGTTGTGCCGAGATGAGAGGCGGGGACGCATGCGGTCACCGTCAATGGAGCTTTCGGTGGAGCTTCTTGTGCCACAAAAGGTGTGAGGGGATTGCCCAAATGTGAGGCGAGGACGCACGCGGTCAGTCACCGCCACTGGGCCCTGGAGTTCCCTATGGGACCATGAAACGTGTGAGAGGCGTGCCAGATGGGGGGGCGGGGACGCGTGCGATCTCCGCCATTTGGTCCTTCGGTGCAGCTCCCTGTAGGGCCAGGAAATGTGTGAGGGGGGGCAAAAGAGATGCGGGGACGCATGCGGTCAGTCACCGCCACTGGGGCCTTTGGTGGAGCGCTCTATGGGGCCACAAAGCGTGTAAGGTGTGTGCCGAAGTGACACTGATGGTGATGATGGTGGTAATGCTGATGTTGATGATGATGCTGATGTTGACGCTGGTGGTGATGGTGATGATGATGAGGAGGAGGAGGAGGTTGACGATGTTGATGATGATGACGATGATGATGATGAGCATGGTGATCATGAGGATGGTCCTGATGATGATGACGATGACGATGTCGATGTATGATGCTGGTGATGATGTTGATGATGATGATAAAGTTGACGATGGTGATGATGATGATGATGGTAAAGGTAATGATGGTAATGGTGGTGGTGGTGGCCGTTGTGATGATGACGATGATGCCGATGCCGATGCCGATGCCGATGCCGATGCTGCTGCTGATGATGATGCTGATGAACTTTAAGGGTAGCTCTTTGGGAGATGTTATATAGAATCGTGAGTATAGCTCGCACGCCGTTGCCTTTGGCTCAAGGCACGCGCGCCCTAGTTGCCCGGACACTTACCATAGTGTTCGCTATGTGCTGGAAAGACCGATACATCGATCTTATCTTATCCTACCCATCCACTCCCCATATCGTATTCCTTCGACATGGAATTGTATGCAATGTGAGCTCATCCGCCTCCCATGGAGACGGATGCTATTTGACCTACCAGGCTCACTTTCGACTTGGTAGCGGAGCTGGCCGCACTCTCGTGTGGTCAGCTCTTGCTCTTCTCATCCTCATACTCTTCGGCACGATCCTCGTGACCACCTACCACCCTGCGCTACCACTCCCAGTACGTTTACGAGGATCTATCCAAGAGCAAGGAGCAACACGAGAGGTACGACGTCTAGACAATAACATTGGTACCATATACGCTTCATCACTGCGCTACTACCAACCGCTCGGCAACGAGCCAAAAGCGCAGTACTTGAAGCATGGGCGGAGAGATCCGCCAGATAGAGCGCCTCGCAGACTTGACAAGGCGCTACCCCAGCGCGGCAACGCGCCTAATAACCACCCCTATATTCACAGCCTTGGGCTGGTTATCTTCGCTATCATATGGTTCGCGCTGGGGGCAGCAATCGGACACATGCGCCGTGGAGAGAACAGCACCGATGGGCAAACACATGGCCCATACTGGGACCCTCAAGGCAACGTATCTTTTCCGCGAGTACGTTTATGAGGTCAACGCATGGCTCAACGTCACAAGTGGACGTATGACGCCACAGGCCCAAGCGGCCGCCATACAACGCGGCCTGGGTGGCCTAGCGAGGACACTCGCCATGAGGGTACCACCTGACATTATAAACTACGGTGCTGACATCGATGGGGTCCACACTGACCCAGTGACCTACATCATGTTCCTCCGAAGCATGAAGTTCGAGCGCCTGGAAGATGAGCGCCAGCTCACTTCTGGCACACAGCTCATCGACTTTCATGTGCCCCACGGAGAACGAATCGATGTCACCCTTACCCGATTCGAAATGGCCCGACTTGAGGCACAGTCGTTGGGACTTGACCTTCCCAACTTCCAACTACTAACCACGATCCTGCTCCGCGCCTTAGGCGTCGGTAACCAGCGAGCTAGGCAACTCTTACAGCCACTCAACCATCAAATGCCCCGAACACAACAATAATATGATGAGCTGCTGGAGAGGATGCGTTCGATAGGCCACCTATCAGAACGGTCCCCTGGCAACATAGGATCTGTGTTTGGAAGGGGAAGGGGATCTGGTAGTGGGAATTTCTACACTACCTTAACCACTGAAGCCCAGCCTGGAAACGGGCCCTCAAGCATACGGGCCGATGATCCTGGAGAGCCCACTGCTCTACGAGCAGGAGATCGATCACAACCAAGCTGGGCAACCAGCCCTCCTTCTAGAGAACCTCAACCACACCGTTCTCTATGGGGTGAATCAAACCCCCTAACCGACGGTGTATCCACCTACTTGGGAGACGATGATTTCGACTCCGGCACCGACACAGGTACTATATCATCAGACGGTGTTGAAGCTTTAGATTGGTCAGATATCATGAATATGGAAAATGATAATCAGCGTGCTGAACACTTGTTTTGGTTATTGCAACAGGCTAAACGGAGGTGGAGGAGGTTCACAAGAAAACCCGTGCGTCGTGTTTGGAGGAGGATACGGAGGAGCTTCAACGGAAAAGGTAAAGGCAAACGGGGCCGTCGGAGGTTGAATGGACGAGGCATCGCGGCCTTCCTCCAGAGGCTCTCAGATGAACAGTATGATGGGATATTTTTCGGGGGGAAAGGCAGTGGAAAAGGCCGTAGAGAGACCTCAGGCAAAGGCAAAGGTAGGCGGGGAAACCCTCGAGGTAGAGACGGCCAGGTCCTAAAGTGCCATGAGTGTGATAGTATTGATCATCTTGTGAGAGATTGTCCAGCGAAGGGAAATGGAAAGGGCAGGTCGACCGAAGTCCATTCTGGCTCAAGTGAACCATTCATCGAATATATGAGCCTCCAGGATTTTGAGGCCATGGAACAGATATTTTACACTTGGGTCAGTTGCATGGACAACGTCGACGAGCTCGAGGCGTATGGTCATGGATTGTACGCGTACTACCTCGAGTACGTCCGCAGGTTCGTTGTTGGCAACAACGAGCTCACTCCCGTGGAACACGGAACGCTGGGAAACCAGCCTTTATCTTTTTTCGACTGGATGTTCGGGAACCCAGGCAACATCATGGCCTACGAGAGCAGTGACGAGGACGTCACTGTAGAGGCCTCGCCTTCAGAGGTTGACCGCAACCTCCAACCTCCACCCGACCTCCCGCTTGAAAACGGGCCTACCTATCCCCGAAATTACGCTGAACTTATGGAGTCTCAAGCGTTCGTTGCGGGCGCACCAGGGAACCCGCACATGCCCCCTGGCTCGCTTGCGCTAGGCGAGTACGGGCCACGCACACTACTGCAAACCCTCATGAGGATGCACGAGATATTAACTATAGCATATCCTGAGAGTCAAGAAAGCATCGAGGCTGGCAACATGATGCTGCACGACACTGACGCTTGCGACGAGTCGGAGTTGGTGTTGGCAGCCTTGACTCTTAACGACAGCGTGTTCCCTGAAGACGTGCAGAGGCATGTGCGGTACTCCCGAGGGAGATGGCGCGATGCCCTTGAAAGGGCCATCGCCATGCGCGGCCAGGCTCTTCCTCCGCCAGGATGGGGTCTCCAGGCGGCGGGACTATGGCCAAATCACACTGCCATGCGCAACATTGCTGGGCAGCCTGTGCTCGGCAACGAGCCTGAGCCGACAACCGCGCCGCCTACCCCGGGACAGCCGAGCGACGCTCAGACGCCGGCCATGCAGGGAAACCTGCCCGTCCCGGCTGCACCAATGGCCATCATCATTGGCAGTTCTACATCAGAAGATGAAGAGGGCGATGGTTGCGGGCTATGCGAGGATGAAGCCACAATCCTCATGATGGAAGTCACCGGTGAGGAAGAGGTGGACTTTGATCCTGACGAGCCTGACGCACCATCACCATCGGCACAAGCGCCATTTGCGCCGGGCTCCAGCCAGCAGGGAAACCCGCCTCTATTATCCGATCCACCTGGAATCGCACAGGAGCCTCCGCAGGCGCCCCCGCCGGCTTCCACTCAGGCTGCTTCGGCAGCCTTTTCTGATGAGAATGCTGGAAGGTCTCGTTCCCATCCGCGCGTCAGAGGAGAGCCACATCCACAGGCTCGACTTCCTCGTGAGTGGAGGCAAGCTGGCCCAAAGGAACACGCTCTCAGGCGAGGAGGCGAACTACTTCCTTATAATGACCCAAGACGCCGGAAAGGGGAACACTCGGCCTTCGGCAAGGGCAACCCTGCCTATAGGGACGCTCAGGGTAAGGCCATACGCGGAGGCTATCAGCTTGCAACAAACATCCGCCGCCCTGAAATCGAAGAAGTGCGGACTCAGCTGCGAAACATCATCGCGGCTCGCAAGCTGTATAGGCCCCAGGCAGTTTGCAGACCATGCTCCGAGCCGTTCCAGAACCACAAGCCGGGATGCCCTGTAGGGCTCAACGAAAGTTTGAGCCCGAACAGGGGCCGCACCCCTCATAAGGAGGGCCATCCGCCACTGATCCCGATGACACAGGACGAGATCGCAGAGATCAATAGTCGTTCACATGGGGCCGAAAGCCGAGGGGGATAAGCCTCCTCCGGCTCCATGGGGACTGGCGCCCATGACCCAGGAAGAAAAGGACGCGCTCTTTAATCTTCCTGGAATGCGAGGAAACTCGCCCGGCGTTCCCAGCCAGTCCCAACAGCCAGAACCGACGGCCAACGATGACCAGAAGGCCCAGCGAGTTGCGGCGGATGAGGAACGCATGCGAATAGCAGAGGAACGCACACGCGAGGCAACTCGCCAG